GAATGCAAAGAGCGTTTTAAAGAAAACAGGAAATGTGTGAAGTTTAAGTGATATATTATCTACGGAAGCATTTGTTCTGTCAATCATCGCCCAATTCACCATATAACAATCTCCTTCTTTTCTTTTTTTAGGAATGTGCATGGCGTAAAATAAAACCCTGCATTTCAATATAACTATTCACATTTCTTTCTTTCTTTGTTTTTATTCTTTATTTGCAAGAAGTAAGAGACAGGCTTGTGATGCCACAACGACATTGACAAGCATATTGTAAACATACGTTTAGGTACAGCGTCACGGCATATGAGAGAATAGCACTTTTTTAAGTTAATTAAACAGGCTGAACTACAGGTCTAACCAGAAAACCTGAGAGGGAACTTTTTACATTTATTTATTATTATTACTAATATTTATCAAGCACACATTTAGCGCTGTACAATAGGTGACTAACAGACACGTATTTCTAACCAGACGAGTTGGACACACAGGAACAGAGGGGTTGAGGGCCCTGCTCAATGAGCTTACATGCTAGAGCAGGGGTTCTCAACCCAGTCCTCAGGACCCCCTACTAGTCCAGGATTTGGGGATTACCTGGGTGTGTCTCAGGTGTTTAGAAAAAGGGAAAAGAACACCTTAGACTCCAAGGTGTTTTTTTTTTCTAAACACCTTAGACACACCCAGGTAATCCCTAAACCGTGGACTGGTAGGGGGTCCTGAGGACTAACGTTGAGAACCCCTGTGCTAGAGGGAGTGGGGTATAGTGACACAAAAGGTATAGATAGGGTAGAAAAGTGGGATGCTAAAATAGTTTTCAATGAGGGCTTATTATTTATTTTTTTGGTCTTTGCATTGATACAAAAATAGGAGCAGATGTGGCCGTTCAGAGGAAGGTCAGATTAAAAAGTGGTATATTGTATACTCTTGACCGCTAACTAACCTATTTTAGCCAATCAAAGGCCAATTCCATTTGGTTAATAAGGTGTTATAAGTTCCCCTATGTGTTTTTTAAATTTTTTAACAGGCTTCACTTCCTTGTTGTTGGGAGAGGGAGAAGAGAAAAGAAATTGTATTTCTTTTAGTGGAGTAGTGTGGGTTTCCTACAAAAGCCCGGAGAGGCCATGTGTTTAAGTGTTAATATTTTATTGACTTTCCCCAAGATAACAGAAGTCAGAAAAATATATTAAAAACATACGACTGTAATTTAGACAGCAGTAATTTCAATAATTTTGATTTATTCGTTTTAACCAAACCCATCTGTGGCTGGCATGAGCTGGTTGTAATAGATGGCCGTTAAGTAACTTTAATGTTTTGAAGTGGTCATGGTGCCTGGAGTCTGTATGTGCAGCGTTTTGCGGAGTATAACTCATTTGCTGTTGGTAGTGTAACCACTTCTGGCAGCGTCATTGGCATCAATATATTCAAGGCTGGCTAATGCCAATTATGTGCACACAGGGGCATTTGTTGGCTGAGAGTCTTCAGATTATTATGATTGGAGAAACTGTTTATGTTCCGCGGAGAAAGATAAAAACAAATAAATACGTTATTAAAAGTAATGTATGTGGCTCACATAGATGCTCTTAAACTATCGAATACTAACAGGATTACCCTGGAATTCCATTTCAGTAACTTTTGGCCTTAAATTTTAAATTAATTTGAATTCCCTTTAAATTGTTGACAATTCTAATTTTAGTGAATAACTCTGTGAGGTCTGAAACCTCCATGACCCCAGTAACTTGAATTCTGTCATTTTAAAAGCATTGAATAAGAACTAGGAGGGCAGGAGCAGAGAGGGGCAGGCACTGACAGGTCTAAGTCACAGGAGATTGGAGAGCGAGGGTAGATTCACATCATCAGAGCCAACCGAGGCAGCAGGTGATAGGTGCTAATAGGAAGTGCCAACTGTGCTACCCAGGACATAGTTATCTCATCCCCACAAGTTAACTTCATTATGCCCACAAATTAGTTAACTATGGGAACAATCTTCTAAATTGTCTGCAAAAGATAAAACAGAGTGCCCACAATTAACAAAAACAAAAAAACCTCCCGGGCTTCGTAACCTCCAGATAACTGTCCACAGAAATCATGGTGTATATAGTAAAAACTCTCCCTGTGGTTACCACAAATGGGGCTCTGCATTCACTTACAGCACTCACACCCTGCACTCTGTATTCACATACAGCACTCACACCCTGCACTCTGCATTCACTCAATACTCACACCCTGAACTCTGCATTCATACAACACTCACACCCTGCACTCTGCATTCATACAACACTCACACTCTGCATTCACGCAACACTCACACCCTGCACTTTGTATTCATACAACTCACACCCTGCACTCTGCATTCACAAAACAGTCACACCCTGCACTCTGATTTTACACATTGCTCACAACCCACACTCTGCATTCACACACACTACTTGCACACCACACCTCTCATAATATGTTCTCTGCATTCTCACACACACCACTCACCCCGCACTCTGCATTCACACATGACTCATGCACTGCAACAAGGCACTATACTGCCCTATGTTTTGTATTCAACCACACCCTGTACTTTGCAATCACACCCTGCACTTCACAGTCACTCCCTACTCTTTCAGAAACCATTCTCTGCTTAAGGGATTTAAGATTGCAAAGCAGGATTTGGGCTCATTACTTAACAAGTCAGTTAACCAGTTTCTACATGATACAAATTTAATTACAGCGCACCCACAAAAATACACTAATAATCTAATAAGGCTACATAATTCACCTATGTAAGAAGACAAAATATGGGGATTCAGTTCCACTATATTGTCGTATTCCAGACCAGATTCCTTTTGGGGTTCATGCACCCTGCCCAAGCCCCAGGCTTCAGAGGCCCCTTAGAGGTGACCACAGGTGTGTATTATATGAGGAGTTATTTTGTAATAGAAATGTCACTTTTAATATAATCTTCATTTACACAGATTGATTTGCATTAGGTATATATTTAACCAAGCACTAACACTGTAATTGTTTAGTTTTGACACTGTTTTTAATTGCTTTTATCACATTTTGTATACTCACAATGCTCTTACAATACACTTTTTAGTGTATTTAGCACTATTTATTTGTCTCCCACATTTAGTTTTAGTGTAGGACCCACTGATATTGGGGTACTGGTGGGCTTAACACAATATGGCCGTATGGTGAAACTGAATCCCCATATTTTGTCTTCTCCGGTGAATTAGGCAGTTGGATAAGATTATTGGTGTATTTTTGTGGGTGCATCGTAATTTAATTTGTATCATGTATGAATATTGGTCACTACGGCAGCACCATTCATGTAGAATGCATTTTTTTAGGCATGCCCCCAATCTTTTTTTTCTTTTTTAACCATTTTTTAGTGTGTTTTGTGTGTGTGTGTGTGTGTGTGTTCTTCTTTTAATTTTTTGCTGGCTTTGATATTTTGCCCTGTTGGTTCTGTTGTTAACACTCCAGTTACTACTTTTGCTATTTTGTTTCCCATTAAATTATTTCTAATTTATTGGAGTACGAGGTTTTTGATCTTTAGTGCCACTCAGTGGCGAATAGTGAACAGTGTTCTGCAACATTTATAGCCATAGCCACACTGAATATCCTTCTGGTGCTAAACCGGTACCAGTTCTTAATTTGTGCTAAAATCAAACAGGTGTCCGGTTTAATTATTCTTTCATTGTTTGTTTGTTTCTCTCCTTCCTTCTGTCTTTTCCTTTATTTATTTTTCTTTCCTTCTCCGAGTAGCTCACAATGCGGCACCATGAGTAGTAGCGCAGAGAGCATAATCTCTGGACTCCCCACTGAGCAGGACTTGCTGCTGGACCCAGGGTGGAGTGTGTGTGTGTTTGTCGTTAAGGGGGTACTGCTGCCAGGGTACAGCTGTCTGAGAATGATGGTACTTGGAATCCACAGCTTGTACCAGTAACCATGGCAATTCACATAAGTGATACTGTCACGGTGCTTTGTGGAAAATAATGTAACATTGTATGGAAATACATTCATTTGTTTAACGTTCATAAACCCTCCAGACAGGGTTTATATACCTTTCATTCCATAATTTGTATAACATACTGATTTTTTTGGTTATCTCTTAAAGAAATAGGTTTGTCTATAAAATAACAAGGTGACCATTTATGACATAAGCAAAATAAAACAAAACAAGCACACTTTGCTGGGTCTCATTTAAATACTAGCCAGACTGCCTTTCTATAATAAATGTCCTACTGTAATGGACATGCATGAAACTAACATGTGAAATCCCAATGCAATCTCATGGGCAAAACTATTTCCGTATTATTCTGCATTCTAAATATTGTGATATATTCTGTATGTTAAATAATGGGATATTCTCAATGGGGAGATATATGCTCTGCATTCTAAATGGTGAGATTCTCTGCATGTTAAATAATGGGATATTCTAAATGGTGAGATACTCTGCATATTAAATAATGGGATATACTAAATGGTGAGATACTCTGCATATTAAATAATGGGATATACTAAATGGTGAGATACTCTGCATATTAAATAATGGGATATACTAAATGGTGAGATACTCTGCATTCTAAATGGTGAGATATTCTGCATTCTAAGTGACGGGATACTCTGCATTCAAAATGGAGAGATTCTGCATTCTAAATAATGGGATATTCTAAGTGATGAGATACTCTGCATTCTAAATGGCGAGAGATTTTTCAGGGATCTGAGTTACACTGTCACAGTGATTGCTTTTCTGCCAATATAACACACATTGTAGCATTTTGCTTTACCTATTGTGTGTAAATCTATTTCTTGTTCCAGTTCCGTTCATGAGACAGACTCCTCATTATTCCAGCCAGCAGTTTGTGGATGCGCTGAATCCAGTGCAGCTCTTCCTATAGAGGAGTCACAGTGTGATGCCCCATCCACTACATTAGCACTGAGTCTCAACAGGAGGGGAATGCCTTATTAGCCTGTCGTGACGTCACATTGGAATTCCTATTGTGCATTTGGAACAGCTCTAGCAAAATACAGAGCAAGTTCCCTGTGTCTCTGTGTGCACTTTCAGCTCCTGTCTCTGCCTGTCAGGTGGTCTCAGACCACATTAGCCCTCTCTGCCCTGTCTCACCCTGAAATGACATCTCCCAGATGACTTATCATCAATCAGACTGTTTGCAGTTCCCAGGGAGTACCTCGTTGATTAAATCTCGATGAGAGATCCCTTCTGCATCTATTATTCCAGGGGATTCACCAAGACACAGCCTGGAATGTGATCAGGAGAAACCTGCAAGTAACCTGGGACAATCCAGAGACTGGGCTGTGGAGCAAGGACCAACCAGGACCTCTTTACACAGTGAGTCCTCACTCTCTTAAAATCATTCTGCAATATCAACACCTATTCTTCACTTAGCTGGGGGCTAGGTGACCATGTCTGAGTTATTTATTGCTGCAGGGATATATGAACTGTGAGATCCTGTTAGAATATATAACTGGTGGGAATGTCCTGTCCTAATGCAACCATCTATGATCAGCTAGAAGAAAGTCCAGTACGTGTTTGAAATAGAACTGTAAGACAGAGAAATCGTATTTTAATCCTCTGGAATCTCCTAAAAATTAAACATTGGGACAAAAAAACCAAAAATGATTGATGGTTCAGGATTTGAGGATTTAAATGAATCCGAATACAGTGAGGACTCAGAGGTGGAGATAGCGGTGAATGTCGGTGGGATAAGGCAGATCCTGTATGGGGACATCTTGAACAGATACCCTGAAACTCGACTGGCCGAGCTGATGAATTGCATGGCTGGGGGCTATGATGCCATCTTCTCCCTGTGTGATGACTACGACCCTGGGAAGAGGGAATTCTACTTTGACAGGGATCCTGATGCCTTCAAGTGTATCATAGAGGTTTATTACTATGGAGAGGTCCACATGAAGAAGGGTATCTGCCCCATATGTTTCAAGAATGAAATGGAATTCTGGAAAGTGGACTTGAGTTTTCTGGACGAATGTTGCAAAAGCCACCTGAGTGAGAAGAAAGAGGAACTGGAAGAAATAGCCAGAAGGGTCCAAACTATATTAGATGACCTAGGCGTGGATCAAACAGAGAGCCGGTGGAAGAGGTTTATGAAATATGTGTGGAAATTTATGGAGAAACCAGAATCCTCTTACCCAGCTAGGGTAACAGCCGTGTTATCGTTTCTGTTCATCCTGATCTCCTCGGTAGTCATGTGTGTGGGGACCATACCTGAGCTTCAGGTTTCAGATGCTGAGGGCAATCCTGTAGAGCATCCCACCCTGGACAGCATCGAGACTGCCTGTATAGGGTGGTTCACCTTAGAGTATATCCTAAGGCTCATCTCATCCCCTAACAAGTTCCACTTTGCCATCTCATTCATGAACATCATAGATGTCCTGGCTATCCTACCTTTCTATGTTAGCCTAAGCTTGACTCATTTAGGTGCAAGGATGATGGAGCTCACCAATGTCCAGCAAGCTGTCCAAGCTCTCCGGATCATGAGGATTGCAAGGATCTTTAAGTTAGCCAGACATTCGTCTGGTCTCCAGACCTTAACCTATGCCCTTAAGAGCAGTTTCAAGGAGCTGGGTCTACTTTTGATGTACCTTGCTGTGGGTATCTTTGTGTTCTCTGCCCTGGGGTACACAATGGAACAGAGCCACCCTGACACTTTGTTTAAAAGTATCCCTCAGTCATTTTGGTGGGCTATCATCACCATGACTACTGTTGGCTACGGTGATATCTACCCTAAGACAACATTGGGGAAGCTGAATGCAGCCACCAGCTTCCTGTGTGGTGTGATTGCCATTGCCCTCCCAATTCACCCCATCATCAACAACTTTGTCAAGTACTACAACAAGCAGAGGGTTTTAGAAACAGCCACCAAACACGAACTAGAACTGATGGAACTTCACTCTGGTAGTGGAGAAGGTGACCTTGGAAGGTCCACGTTGAACTCTGGAAGTTCTTTACAGGTAATGGAAGGGAAAGGACTATCTGCCTGGAGGTACACCAAACTATCACATAGTGATACCTTTATCCCAGCTCTGTTTAATGAACAAAACCACAGAACAAGGCTACAGAGCTGCAAATAATAGACACTGCTGGAACAGGCTCACATCTACACTAGTTTCCAACAGACTGTATGCTGAGCGTTTGAAAAGAGGTCCTACTTCAAAGGATGGACCAAGGTGGCAGCTGTGTCTGAGCTTCTACTTTATAATTACAATTCTGTCTCGATACAATCTATATAGTACTTAGTTACTGCTCCAGAGGGAAACAAAACACTGAAAATATCTGAAGCTACATCTACCTAGACATGTGTCAATCATGTTATATAGCTGTCTATCTGTGACAGAAGGACACAGTGACAAAATGTGTCTTGAAAACGTTTTGGTTTTTTAAACTATTTCCTACTAATCAGTCCTGGTGCTGTCTTTATAAGAATGCACACACTGATTTGTTCCCATTCTCAAAGAGGAATTATCCTATGGAATAATGCTGTAACATTTCACTGATATTTGTTATATTTACTGCTTGTTATGGTGGCTGTGATGTTGTAGTGTCGCTGTCATGCTGCATTGCTGTATTTTAACTGATCAGTGTCTCTGCTTGCGTTTGAAATATATTTAATTTGTTTACAATGTGAGTTATTCAGTATATGTCAATAGAGCATCAAGCTATACACTCTGTAGAACATTTTAAACACAGAGATATAGAAGTCTTTGATGTTAGAGGTGGCTCCAAAGTCCAAAACAGTGTGGGTCTGAAACTTCCACAATGTATATTTTTCTTCCAAAAAATGTATATGTGACATTTCTATGTGCATAAGGAGGCATATCTCATTGCACATACCCACTAATGCAGTAAATATGAATCCATTGTTCCCAGTAGTATTAATATTGTATTTTATTTAAAATAGATCTACATACAGATGACCCCCCCAGTTACATCTCACTAGCATGTTAAATCCCTAGTAATTATGTAAATAGTTTACAATGCTCCATTAAGTTAGTGTGTGTGTGTGTGTGTGTGTGTGTGTGTATATATATATTTATATTTTTTTATTATTTTTTTTGTTTTTTGTGGAAAATCTGTATCAATCTGGATCTCAACTGGAAATTAGGAGTCAAGACTTAAAGCTTTACACATGATACATTTCTTATGTCTTCATCTTCCTCTTGTTTCAGTTACTTTACATTTTCACTGCCATGGTGCCATAGCCTGGGTCTTCATTTACTAAGCAGGGACTGGTCATGAATTGACAAAACTTGCAAAACTGTTTTTTGGAATGTAAAAATATTAACATTGTTAAAATCATTAAAGATCAAACTATCCTAAATTCTAGAGGGTCTGAGCACTTCTAGATTGGCATGCAAATAGAAAAGACATAGTCTTACAACAAGCCATCTAAATGAAAGATCATAGTTACCTGTCATGTTGCCATGGCAATAGAATCAGTTCATAAATAAGGGTACCATTAAGCCAGAACAGAAAGGTGTATAATTTTCACAACATGTGAGCATAAAATGACAGGGTTTAAGATATTTATTTTTTAAAATGTTGTTTTTATAATCATACATTCATTTAATCTGGTCATTGAATGTTTGTATTACCAGTTGCATAAATTGCTCCAGCAAAATAAATCAATAATTACAAGAACAAATTCATATACATCAGACATGTTGTTCAATTTTAATAGCATGTTTTGCCAAATGCAACAAAAATTGTCATTTGTTGCAAAGGATGGAGTTCTATGCAGTCTGCCCAGTTCTGATGAAGGGGGTCCAGCCTTGATCCTTCAATTCGTTAAACTAGATTTCCTATAAGTTTCTGCTAGCCGTGTGTTAGACATATCTACTCTTACAGGTTTATTAATTAAACTGAGAATTTCAACAAAATCCCACTAGTTTCAGATTTAAGGCCGGAGTAGCTGAACCAAAAGCATAGATGACTTGGAGAATGTTTTGTTATTTTGACAGTAAATTTTCATTGAATTCTCACTTTAGTAAATAACCCTGTATATGTTTTATTTTAATTACCTTTCAAGTATTATTTTTATTATTTCATTTATATAGCGCCAGCAAAATTCTATAGCGCTGTACAATGGGATGTACGTATAACCTGAGCTTTGTCATCTACCGGGCAGTATCTACAATACCCCTCCCCCCCCAAAGTAGGGTAAAATATGACATTGCATGACACTAAATAAAAAAACTGTTATAAATGTACTCATTAAGGGTTGGAATCAGGGAACAGTGAATAATTTACAGCAAAATTCCAAAATGTAAGTCAAAAATACGGAGTTTAAAAAAGATATTTAAACCAAGTTATTGTTTTATCTTTTTTTTTTCTAAATGCGGTCTAAAATTTGCCATGTGTCTTTCAGCTCATAAAAAATCACTGTCGAGTGTAAAAAAAAACAAAAAAAAAAACTCTGCAAAATAGAATGCTCATAATCTGTTTTATTGGTTAGCACAGTCTCATCCCTGTGTTGTCTGTTCAGAAGTCTCCTTAAAAGAATGGGTTATGTTAACTATTTTGAGAGGGGGGCCTTTGTGGTTATCGGGAAGGTCTCCCCCTTCTCTCTCTCTCTCTCTCTTGCCCCTCCCTCTCTCTCTCTCTTCTCTCTCTCTCTCGCCCCTCCCCCTCTCTCTCCCCCTTCTCACCCTCTCTCGCCCCTCTCCCCTCTCTCCCCCTTCTCTCTCTCTCTCCCCCTCTCTCTCCTCTCTCCCCCTCTCTCTTACTCCCTCTGCTCTCTCTCCCCCCTCTCTCTCTCCCCCCCCTCTCTCTCTCCCTCTCCTCTATCCTCCCCCTCTTTCATCCCTTACCCCTCTCTCTCTCGCTTCCCCTCTCTGTGCTCTATACCCCTCTGTCTCTCTCCCCCTCTGTCTCTCCTCCCCTCTCTCCTATCCTAAACTCTCTTTCTCCCCACCAAATATAACTGCTCGGCTCTCTCTCTCCCCCCTCTCTCTCTCTCCCCCTCTCACCCCCTCCCCCTTTCTCTCTCTCCCCTCCCTCTCTCTTTCCTCCCCTCTCCTCCTCCTCCCTCTCTCCCCTTATCTCTCTCCCCGCCATCTCTCTCCCCTCTCTCCTGCCCCCCCTCTCTGTCCCCCCTCTTTCCCCTCCCCTCTCTCCCCCCTCCTCTCTCCTCTCTCTCTCCTCTCTCTCCTCTCTCTCCCCTCTCTCTCTCTCCCCCCCCTACCCCCCTCCACAATAATAGAATGGGGATATTTGGCAACAAGTAATTTACATACAGAATTTAACTGAGATGCTCATAGAAAGCAGGGCTTTCTTCACGTTACAGCCTATCCACGAGGATTAGAGGGCACATTGCCATAGCCACATGTTATCAGGATGTGGATTTGGAACTGAGGATGTGTTATGCCGTTTTGACTGACTCTGACTTAACGCTGCACTCTAATAAATACTGCACTATTGCATTGCTGTAAATAACGTTAAACTTGCCACGTTGTAAGCATTTTGATCATCTATCCTACAGCCAGGGCTGGGTTTATTCAGTAAAAATAAATTGTACTGAACTGTAAACAAAATTGGGGAAATTCAAGCTGAAGTAGTTAAGGTGGAACATTTTTCCAAATCCGATCTTTTTTGCCTAAATCATGCTCTTTACAATTCACATTTGCAATGCAGTGTTTAGTGAATGAATCTCATGATTGTTTAAACTCTATATCGGAGCAGTCTTTTCCTTCGTTCTGTGCTCCCCAGAGAGAAGCACAGCATTCACACATGGGGGGAAAAAAATCACAAACATGTTTCCATTTATTTTTCCACTTACTGGATTTATTGTTAATTATACTTTTCTAATACAATTAGACATAAAAAAGCACCTGTAACTGGACATGGCATTTTAGATTTTTCATGTGTCTTTGAGATCACATTTCTTATCCGTTCTGTGGACTGTCTATTGTCACAATTCGCAATATCTCCAGTCTGGAACCTTGCATAGTTCTATTCGCCACTATTTAAAAAAACTACTGCAGTGAATGTTAAAATTGGCAAGAGGTGGCTTCTTCTCATGGCTTTTGGGCAACAACCTATTCGATTCTGCAATTTGGTTTAAAGCTAGGTAGGCACTCTACTCACCGAGCCATCTAATTTAACTTGGTCTCATATCTATAGGCAACTATTTGGACATTATACAATGAACACCATTTAAAAAAATATATATATATTTTTTTAGCCTTATTTGCTAATGCATGCCCAGGTATGTGTTTCCTTTGGAAACTTCTGATACATTTAAGAATTTTTTTTTTTTTTGTCACCTGTTATTCCTCATATGATAGGAGCTAGGCTGGATTAACACCTGTAGCATTTACTCTTTCACCCTTAGACATTTTTTTTACCTCCGCTTTATACTACACATATACAGCGTTATTTCTATGACCTGTATTTTCATTGGTCCAAAGCAGTTGTTTAGTGGATATACCCTTTCTAACAGTCTGTTATGTAGGACTATCTATCTATAGCCCTTTTTGTCTCTAGCCGCTTTCCTAAGGTAGTGATTTTTCCCCTCGCTCTGTCCAGGGTAGAACAGTGTGTTTTGCAGTTTATAATCACTGCACTGCACAGCACTGTATATACTGTATGTTTTCACGTGCGCCACTTAGCATGGTGTTTAGTTGGGGCTACATTTTCATGTATCTGCTGCTTTAATAAAGATAATTCATAGTTTTTAGCCTTACCCTTGTAACCATTTAGACCGAAGTGTCTGTTTGGGTCTTTGTTCGTTCGTGTACTTCTTAATAACCTGTTCGTGTTTTTATCAATCAGTAGCCAAGCCCTACGCAGATGATAAAAATCTGTTCCTAACTCTTCTTTAAAAGGAAATTAACATTTTGTTGATAGGCGTCTCCTCCAGCTAACCAGACTTATCTGCCCCATCCATATGTTCTAAGAAATTAGTTATTTATAGACACCTTGATATCATTATATATATCTTCTTCTGCTTCCCCCAAACAGCTTCTGTCTGCTTCATTCATTCTGATGCTTTAGCAGTGACACATAAAAGAGTGTCTAATATCAAAGTCTGCTAAACTGTACTCACTATCCATTTACATCTGTAGATGCTTGATTTTTAGTCACTGCTGTATTACCCTCTTCAGTTCCATCATGTATACAGACATTAATTTTAGGCCATTAAGGCCCATTAATCTTTCGCTTTTTCCCTAGTGATGGTTATCAATATGCAGGCAAACAAATTTATCTACCTATAAATTGTTCTACCAGGGCTCCAATCAACCCCTCTGATCTCTGCAGAGGAATCGTGGACTTCTCCAATCTCCTCTCACAGTATAGCAAGTATAGTAGCTGTATAGTAGAGATGCATAGTGTAACTGTACTTACTGTGTGTATCATGCCCATATGCTGATATTAGTGTTATATTTTGAGTCTGTGCTCTCAGAAATGCCCGCATGTTCTCTAAAAATAACATTAAGAGAGTTTGCTGCCTGTTCACTTATTTTGAATCTTAGGCAAAGCAGAACATGCATGACCCAGTGCTATGACCCGGTGCTATGCGAAGTTTAAAATAGTTGTAGCATTAACCATAAAACTAGCTGTAAACAAATATATAGAGAATACCAAATATAAATATTGGTGAGGTGTCTATTACGGACAAATAATGCAGTAACATGTACATTCTAATTCTACCTGCACTTCTTTATACTGAAATAGGGTAGAACACAGCTCAAAATTACCAGTTGCCTACTAACCATTGGAAATTGATTGTTCAGCCCAGGTGAGTGTGCGACGGACTCTCCAGGCATGCAGTGGTGATTAACTTTTGAGACTTGGTTAGCAGAGTAGGATTTGACATTTGGAGCCATTGGGTAAAATGAATTGGGTCTCAGCTCTTTAACCGTGAGTAATATTTATTTGGCTAGTTTGATTGCTTTTCTAACTGAATTGTTCTTAACTTGGCTAATGTAGCTTTTAGCATATTCATTTTGCTCTTATAATTCAGTAAACTTGATTTTTTTATACTAATTTTGGTGTGCGGCTCTTCATTATTTTAACTTAAGATTTGAGGGAAAATAATGCCGTCTCACAGTTTTGAATTTCTTTTATAAATTGTTATTGGTGTTTATTATATCTTCAGAGCCCTTCAATGTCATGATTTTCCATAACACAACTTCAGCATTTTGTAAATTTTATATACATGGTTTGTATAACTAGGGTTAGGGGTTTAGAATTTCCAATGTATTTGATAAACTCTTACACAGACCAAAATAAAAGCATTATTGATGCACACACTTGGTTGACTATATTCTCACAAATACCCAATTAACAACAATCATACCATATCAGCGACCCACTAACGTACCTAATTATTTACACAAACAGACATAACTAGACACAAACAAGCACACATATACAATTATTCAATCAGCCACACATTATGCTTACATTCATACATACAGACGCAAACATTCACAGGTACAGACAAAAAAACTGAAATTAACTCTCACACAGGTATACATGAAGACGCAAACAAACACATTCCCTCATGCAGAAGTGCACTGACACACACATTTTGTCACAGTATCAAACCCCAACATGCAGTATATGTACCCACTTTAGCAAGACCGGAAATAAGAACATATAACTGCTCTTTAGAATTGCCCGCCCTAACGTACAATAGAGAAGAATAACCAGAAGCAATGTTTAGGTTAAAAGAAAGTTGGGTCAAGGATGCCAGAGGTCAGAATAGTCAATGGAAAGCAGAGTCAAAATACAAAAGAATAAAACACAGAATTGAGACCAGACAGGAGCCCCAACAAGGCAAAGCGCATAACTTAGGCTGAAATATTTATACCTATTGACATTGACATTCTATGCCATTCATGCATGCCTAGAAGGCGCAAACGTTGTTGCATGAATGACACAGGGTGCACAGAATCATTATTTTGATGTACAGTTAGAAACCTATAAAATGATCAGGGTATGGAACCTTCAGTATCAGACATTATGCCAGTGTGATGCGCAGTGTCAGAATAAATGCGAGAATGAAACACAGTATCGGAATGGGCGCAAAACTGAATCATACTATGCAGCCACGTCCAAACAGCAACCTTACACATTCACACACACTGACGTACATTGTCCTCTTCTTGTTGCTCAACTTTAAAGAAAAAAAAAAGATTTAGTTCTGTAAGGTACAAATTTATCTTTTCATTGTTAAATGTGTGCTAAATCTCAGCATTACACGAACAGCTGTAAATAGGATATTCACTGATGGAATTTAGAGAGATAAACACACCTGGAAGAATACTGGAGTTTATTAATTTTGCACCTAGTATATTACTATATGGTACATTTACTAAACCATTAATATAGTGTAAAATTACAGCATACAAATTTTAGGCAATCAGCACTACTTTCGAAACAAACAAATAAACAATGGGGGAACATTTTAATTTGTTTTGTGATTTGGAGTTCTGGCTGTGCCCCCCCCCCCCAAAAAAAGAGATGAATGCCCCTTTACTCCTCCTCTCCCCTTCTTTCCTTGTCTTTTCAAGTGCTTGCTGCCCCACACTGCTACCTTTCCAATCTATTCTTTAATATTTTATGAGTTCTTCTCCTAGGTGATTACTGGAGCAGAGAGGCCTCATACCTGGAGTGGAGGCGTGTGGGAGCTGTGAGGAGTTGTACTTGTGTTCTAAACACAGCTGCCTCCTGGCTCCCTCTGTATTAACGTCATGCATTAGTACAGCCTGAGCTTCCTGAGCCCCTGCTGGCTTCCTGAAAACCGGCAGCATCAAGCATTGTGCCGCTGTGGATTTTATACTATACCGCTGCTTGCACCGACTCAATTTCCACTCGCCTTCTCTGAGAGGAAGAGTGGAAATTTTGAGCCCTGTATAATATATAAATATAGGAATATAGATTTATTTTTTTTACTGCTCCTCCTGTGCACAAATCTATTTATAATACTTTCAATGAGGAGGGCGATGATAAAAATCTAACTCACCCTTCTGTGTGTGTGTGTGTGATAAATTTGCTTCACCAGTGTTGTAGAATTTATTTCCATTACCCTAGTGTTATATCGTGTTCATTGCATGTGATTGCTGAATTTAGCAAACTGATTTTACTCAAAGGGACAGTATAGTCACCAGAACAGCATATTTTATTTGTTCTGGTGAGTAGAATCATTACCTTCAGGCTTTTTGCTGTAAACACTGTCTTTTCTGAGAAAATGCAGTGTTTACATTACAACCTAGTGATAACTCCCACTCCTCAGATGGCTGCTAGAGGTGAGGCAGTGCTGCAGTGTGACTGACATTCAGTGTATCCATTCTCTTCATGGATACCCTGAACTTTCCTCATAGAGATGCATTGTTTCAATGCATCTCTATGAGGAGATGCTGATTGGCCAGGGCTGTGTTTGACTTGTGCTGGCTCTGCCCCCAATCTGCCTCCTTGACATTCAGTGTATCCATTCTCTTCATGGATACCCTGAACTTTCCTCATAGAGATGCATTGTTTCAATGCATCTCTATGAGGAGATGCTGATTGGCCAGGGCTGTGTTTGACTTGTGCTGGCTCTGCCCCCAATCTGCCTCCTTGACTTACCTGTATCCAGCACCGATGTCCCTCGATGCTGGTTCAGGGTCTGCCCGCGCTCCTCCCCAGCCGACGTCATCCGGCGGAGGAGACCTATTGCGCATGCGCGGCCGGTGACGGGGGACACCTAATGCTTTCAATGCTTTCCTATGGGGATTTCAGCAATGCTGGAGGTCCTCACATAGCGTGAGGACATCCAGCGACGCTATAGCACAGAAAATCTGTGCTATAAATCCGAAAGTGACCTCTAGTTGCTGTCTAGTACACAGCCACTAGAAGAGGAGTTAACCTTGCAGGAGGTAACTGCAATATTTACAGATGCAGGGTTAAGGGTAGTTGGAGTTTGCACCCAGACCACTCCAATGGGCAGAAGTGGTCTGGGTGCTTGGAGTGCCCCTTTAAGAAAATGAAAATACATTGTAAAAAAAAAATTCATTCATTAAAAGAAAAAAAAAATACCTTCACCTACATACACACACACACACACATCATCCACCACACAAACTGCATTCACTACACAAGCACACACACCACATTCACTACACAAACACACACAGCATCGACTATACAAAGACACAAACTGCATTCACCACACAAACACACACCACATTCACAATACACATTGCATCCACTACACAAATACACACTCTGCATTCACTACACACACACTACATCCACTACACAAACACACAATCTGCATTTACATTACGCACACTATATCCACTACACAAACACGCACTTTGCATTTACTGTACACACACTACATCCACTACACAAACACACACTCTGCATTCACTATACACACTACATCCACTATACAAACATAAACTCTGCATCTAATACACACAAACATACAATCTGCATCCACTATAAACACCGCATCCACAACACACACCACATCCACTTTACTCAAGCACTTTGCATCCACGACACACATTCTTCATCCACTGTGGGTGGACTTAGGATGGTCCCTGTGGGGGGACTCAGGGCGTGCAATGTAGGCGGACTCAGGGGCGGGCCATGAGGAGACTTTGGGCTGTGCCAGGGGCCCCAAAATTTCAGGGGGCACCAAAAAAAAAAGCATTTTGTGAGTTAAGCTTCGCAAAAGAATGAGAATTGTTGACTAATTCCGCTTTGTGTGCCAATGAAATGCTTCAAATTAAAAAAAAATTTAAATCTTAAGATAATAATATGAACTTAAAGTGCTTAAAGAAACACTCTAACATTATGAATAAATATATATATTATATGTTGATGCATAATGCATATGTATTGTATTGTATTGTATTAAGCAGTGGAGTTAGTAAGAACATCTTGAACCATTAGAGCACCTACTATTTAAACAAGATGACACATCATAATCATCTAAGGAGATATGTTCTCATTTGCTTCACAGGCGTTTCTCCTTCCCCAGAATAATGCAAAATGGAGAGTCTGAAGAACATAATGTGGTGTTTATTGACCTGCTGAAGTATTTTGTCAGTTTGCAGCAAATGTAAGGCATAATTAACTTCAAGGGTTAAGTTAGTTAAGAAGAGGAAAGGAGGAGAGGGAAATTAAAGTTACATTATAATGTTAGGAATACAAATATGTATTCTTAATGATACAGTGCTTTATTAAGTGTGTAGGTCCCCAGTCCCTTCTGGTACGAAGCAAAATACTTACCTATTTTCCCATGCTGCGCAGCTCTCTCTATGACTGCCCCCCTTCTTGGCTGAGATAGTTGAGATTGATGATCTCAACCAATCCAGTGCTTTCCCATAGGAAAGTATTGGTAGGCAAGTGCACATGCACGGTAAAACACCGTTCTGTGTTTTACTCAGCTATTTCCTCAGAAGCACCTCTAGCGGCTATCTGAGTGACAGATACTATGGGCATTTAAATCCTGCAATGTAAACATTGTTTTCTGCAGAAAACCATCTCCAAATCTAATCAAAACAAAAAGTAGAAAATACTCAGAGCTGTCCAAGGTTTGCTTAATGTCGATGAGAATAACAAAGTATATCATTAGCATTTCTCTACTTTCATAATGGCATATTAAAATATATTGTTCTTTTCTGTGCCCTAAAATTAGAAGATCAAAAGAGATGAAGTGCTTGTTCTTCGCAGAGAAGACTGGTTCTGCTCTAAACCTCTGCTGTCTTTTTGATGTAGCAATTAAAATGGTACAGAGGAAGACACGGTACAATTTTATCAGCTAATTTAAAGTAGAACTAGCATTTTACTAATGTAATCTGGTTTACACAAAGGGGTATCTGCTGAATTATTGAATCCTAAAAAAAAAAAGGAAATCGGCTAAGTGTATTTGCCATACTCATTAATATGACACAGATAACGGTATACTAGATAATTGTATAAAAGTCTATGTAATTTGGGGGTGTTTTTTTTGCATTTTTTGTT